AACTCTGTATAGGGGACTAGTGGACATATTTTAGGATGAGAGAAAGGATACATAGGCTTAAGGATTTTGAACTTTCTTCTAAGAGTCAAGGGGAGTTATTTAGGGTTTTAAGTGGAATTGTGGCTGTGGGTGTGAGAATAGTGAATCTCAGCAGTTTGGCTTTTTATAAAGATGACATTGGCCCAAATGTAGAGAATGGTATGAGAAAATATTAGAAGATACAGATAGATTATTAAAAGGTTATGTCAGTATTCCAGGCAGATAATGGAGTTTTCTTGAATTTGGAACAAAGTGGATGGTTTCAACAGACATTAAAGAGATACAAGCTGTAGATTTGATTGTGGTTTTGACAAGGGTTTGCGATGGGAAGAATTCAGCATCAAGAGTGACTATCAGATTTGTTTCTTTAAAAATGGGGTATGCCATTAACAGGGAATAAGAATACAGGCTGAGTGAGGTCCAGATTTAGTGATGGTGTTTGAAAAGACTCCATTTGGATTCAGACATGTTGAATTTGATAAATCTTTGAGATGTCTGAAGAAACTATTAGGTAGTTGGAAAGTGGCAACATCAAGAGTAATAAGATAAAGGAAATGAATATGTCCTAAAAACTGCACAAGGGCAGTTTCAGGGTGCCCTCACAGTGAACCCTAATGAAACAAGGTGTGGTTCTAATTGTTACACTTGGGGGTGATTCGATGATTAGCTCACAATGCCCAGTAGAAAAACTTTGCCTTCATCCTACAGGGAATCCATTGCTAACTTCCATTGAGGGAATTCTAATGTTCTTCTTATGCATTTATGGATAGATTTGAAAGAGCACAAATAAATATGTCCTTGCCATTGCCGTTTCCAAGGAAAATCTTTGCACAAGTAAACACTGCATCATTCTGCACCTTNAATTTTATCACTTCTTTGTTTATTTGTGAACAAACCACAACTTTAGTTTTTTAAGAATGGATTGCTTAAGGGGTACTCTGACCCACTATAATAGCTAGTGTTGAATAGCTCATTCAGTGTGAGTCACAGATCACATTGTCCATTGATTCCTACAGATTCCTTGTCACAGATACTGTCGGTGCCTGCCCATATCTTCTCTAATTGTACATCTACATCCGAGGGCTTTCTCTGATGGCCAGATCTATTCTACCCACACTTAAGGCATAGTATAAGAACTAGTAAATGAATGTTATTCATAAAATCTCTTCCAGACCATTTATCAACCAATGACTGATGGGATTTGGTGAATAAATACCCCCCAATCCTTTGCCTTTTGGTTGATATAAATTTGAAGTTCATGCTCTACACTGGCTCATGGTGTTTCCAAAAATGATTAAGCTTGGAGTTGTAACTTGTTTTATAAATCATCCTTCATTGGCTACAGTCCCTTTCCTATCTCACTTCCTCACTTTCTCACTCATCAACTATTTACAATTGTGAGACAAACAAACAAACAAACAAAAAAGCAAGAAACAACTCAATGTTTAAAGACACAGCAATAAAAAGAACAAGTCTAAGATATGACTCAGAGGTTGGGACTATCAGTCAGGAAATCTAAAATGATCATGATTAATATGTTAAAGTTTCCATTTTCATGTATGACCAGATGGAAGACTTCAGAGAGGGAACAGAAAGTATTTTTTTAAAAGTCAAGCTAAAATGCTAGAAATAATTTTTTAAAAAACCATGAGGAAAAAAGACTGTTTGCTAGTGAATCTAAGGAAGTGTAAAGGCCCTGGAGGGCTTCTTCTGCTAGTGCTATAACCAAAAGACAGGTCCTAACAAAATCTGGTCAATAATTAACAGTGCTATGACCAGCTTTACTTAGTTTTTATCCTTCTTAAGGCCTTTAATAACTATCCTACTGCTGCTACTATTCCGTCCTTGCCTTTTTAACTTTTTAGTTAAGTTTGTATCTTCTAGGCTCCAACAATTCCATGTAAAACTAATGGTCACACAAGGATACCAGTCAGTCATGGCAGAGCCTCTACAGCTTCTTCCTTTAGGCCCCTTAAATCAGGCATCCAGAAANGTTAGTTTCGTAATTTTCTTCACATAGGTCTTACATATTTTAAAAATTATCTCTCTATATTGTAAAGTGTTTTGGCTAATATAATGGATACATTTTTCTTTTATCTTTTTTGTTGGTTATGGTTTTGATAGAAATAAATCTAGTGATTATTTACATATCCATCCTCCACTTGATACTAAAGTCATGTTATTTGTTTATTATAACAATATAATATCAGCAAAAAATATAAATTTATGTCCTATAACTGTTATATATTTTATTATATTATTTCATTTAGTATCTTAGGTGTATTACAATTTCTAAGATAATACTGTATAATGATAGTTAAAATGGACACTACAATCTGTTCTTGACATGAAAAGACATGCTTTATTATTTAGAATGGATGCTTATTAGTTCTGATAACTAATCTTTAGCATATTTAAAAAGCTTAATTTTATTTTTATTTTTAAGGATTTTAAAATTAGAAGATCATTATTAAATTGCAATCAACGTTTTCAAATTAAAAATATTTACATTTTATATATTTTCCCCTAATTTTTAGGACCAACTTCCCAGATACTTATTGCTTATAAAGAATTCTTACTTAAGGGTAAAGGTAAATGTTCTGATTTAAAAGGGGATACATAAACAAAGAATATGTGGTATTTTTTTTAAATGTTATTATTTTCATGTAGTTTATAAGTATGTTCTTCACTTATTGTTTCATTGCAGTGATCCACCTGAGTGAATATAATGGAGGCAAACAAAACACAGATGACTGAGTTTGTTCTCACAGGACTTACAGATCGTCCAGGACTGCAGGTCCCCCTGTTCCTGGTGTTCTTGGTCATCTATCTCACCACCCTGGTGGGCAACCTGGGACTGATTTTGCTCATCTGGAGGGACCCCCACCTTCACATCCCCATGTACTTATTCCTCGGCAGTTTAGCTTTTGCAGATGCCTGTTCTTCATCCTCTGTGACTCCCAAGATGCTAATTAATTTTTTATCTAAGAATCATATGATATCCCTGGCTGAGTGCATCACCCAATTTTATATTTTTGCTTCCAGTGCAAACACAGAATGTTTCCTCCTGGTAGTGATGGCCTATGACCGCTATGTAGCCATATGTAACCCCTTGCTTTATCCAGTAGTAATGTCCAATATCTTCTGCATTCAATTATTAGGTGTTTCATATATTATTGGGCTTCTTCATCCCATGATGCATGTTGGTTTGTTATTTAGATTAACTTTCTGCAAGTCCAATGTAATACATTATTTCTACTGTGAAATTTTACAACTGTTTAAGATTTCCTGTACTGACCCTGGAGTTAATATGCTCCTTATTT